GCTGTCAGACGAGCTGTCAGCCTGTGTGGTTTTGAGGTCCATGTCAGTGCGGAGGCAATCATTTATACCAGAGACCACTGCAAATGTGTTGGAAAAAAACAAACAAGTGAACTTGGTCTTTAAAAAGACATATTTTAAATATGTTAGGTCTGGTAAAAAATATGCAGACAAACTGTATCATCTTTAAAAACAATGAAGCCATCCATCCACTTTTCTCCCGTTATCCAAAGAAGGGTCTCGGGGGAAGCAGGCTAAGGAGGGAGGCCCAGACTTCCCTCTCCCCAGCCACTTGGACCGGCTCCTCTTGGAGAATCCTAAAGCGTTCCCTCGCCAGATAAGAGACATGGTCCCTCCAGGGTGTTCTGGGTTTTTCTCTACGATCTCCTCCTGATTTGCTGTGCAACCTCACCAGGAAGTTGTCCAGGAGGCATCCTAATCAGATGCTGGAGCCATCTCAACTGGCTCCTCTCGATGTGGAGGAGCAGCTGGTCTACTCCAAGTCCCTCCTGGGTGACTGAGCTTCTCACCCTATCTCTAAGGGAGAGCTCAGCTACCCTGCAGGGAAAACCGATTTTGGCCGCTTGTATCTGTGATCTCGTTCTTTCGGTCACTCGTGACCATAGATGAGGGTAGCAATGTAGACTGACCGGTAAAAATCAGAATAGCTTTAGAGCACCTTGTGGTTTCTCTCTGGTCGAGTAAGTAAAAGTACAACATATGAAATACATTTCTTCAAATTTTCTGTTTTTTCATATAAAGCTTCAAAACTGCCAATTACGACCCTCAAGGAAGTAAGTTTGGACACCACAGGTACAGCGCCTTGCAAGGGCTCATTAAAAATCTACTCGGTGAGAATTAAGGCCTAGTCCACACGTAGCCGAGTTTTTTTAAAAACGAATATCCGCCCCTCCAAAAACTTGCATCCACACCACCTCGTTTAAAAAAAAAACTCTGTCCACACGTACCCGGATAAATACGTTGTTAAGGACATGCCAGACCTGCAGGCGGCAGTACTTCCCCCGAATAGTATCCAGTCAGCGTAACTTTTCGTCTTCCTGTGGTCTTCCGCAAGGAGCAGTAATTCCGCTTGCAAAAACAAACAAGCAAAAAGCGCTTGGACAATTGATAAAGCGAGCGCAGCTCTGAGGGCATCCATGCTGTCGGCTAGTGTAAACACAGGTCGCACACGTGATGTCAGCATTTTTTGTCGCGGAAAGTGACGTTGCGGACCTTAAAACTCCGGTTTTGTCTGTCCACACGCAGACACCCAAAACGGAGAAAATGCAGATCTTTACTTTGGCCGGAGTTATTAAAAAGATCCGTTTTCGTGTGGAAAAATATCTATGTTTTGGCAGATCCCCGGCTACGTGTGGACAGGGCCTAAGAGTACCAAGCACAATGACTGACGGTTTTCTAATTAGCCACAGTCCAACCACATCCTAATAGTTTATGTAGGGTGTGGAGAGTGTAATCCTCGTGGAGAAAATAAAGCCTTACATGTTTTCCCAGCGTCGCACAGCCAAGACGTCATGCGGAGCTGTCAGACGAGCTGTCAGACTGTGTGGCTTTGAGGTCCATGTCAGTGTGGAGATTTGCATCCGCCACAAACACACAAGGGTGGAAAGATCAAAGCCTCTTCAAAGCACAACTTGATGCTGCTCAGTAAGACAAGTAAAGGAACATAAAGCATCACAGGAATGCTCTGAACTACTGTTCCCAGAATACACCTCCATTCTTAAAATAAAGCGGGACTTATCAATGTGACAGACTCAACTAAAGCTAATGATGAGCTTTGATAAAAGCACGGAACAAAGACTGGTTCTCCTAGAGTGTGCCTCTCAGAAAAGTCTTTATTTTAATAATTCTGCTCTGGGGAGTTTTGTATAATATCTGTACGCGCTGCAGACAGATGATCGTGTCAGTCAGAGCAAGAAGCTTGAATCCCATATGACAGGCTAAACAAAGAGCTGCAGGAATCTGTAGCTTGTGGTTCAAAAACTGACGTGTAATTACTGTCAAATTGGTTTCCAGTGAAATCTGAGAAAGACTGCTGGATTCATTTCCGTAATAAGAAAATCAAAGCTCCTCTCTTGCATTTTCATCTGGAAGGTGTTGTTTATCCAGTCAATGGTGTCATTATCTCAGTTTGTAATCGACGTTTTGTAAGAAGGAATTTTTAAACAGTTTGTTTGATGTTTGTTCTGATTTACATTTGTACATTGCTGAAGTTTAAAGTAATAATGTAGGATTGTGTCTGTGATGATATGACGATACTATCAATATACAAAATTTTAATAAGAACAAAAGTCAATGCAACCTGATGAAATTCAACGTAGTAGAGATTAGGTATGAGATGTGGCCGATATTCTAACGTATCATAATATTCAACAATAAGTATACCCTGGTGCAGCAATACCAAACAACGTGATTCCGTGTCAGTTAGGGCTGAACGATCTGTCATTTCCACACTGAATTTGCAAACAACATGATTGTCAAAGAGGTTTTTCGCAGAGCTTGTGACTGACCTGGGATCTGTTGTAGCAACTGTTTTAAACACTTGGAGTTTCCCCAAGATGTTAAAGGTTTTAAAGATGTTACAGCATTAGCATCGAGTGGGGCAAAGGTGTGGGCCGGGATTGCAGGAGCAATCTGAGTAGACAGGACAGCATACTTGGTCATTTTCCTAATACATTTATTTGTTTTTGTGGTGCTAATTTGGTCAATATTATTAATAGCTGTGGTTGTGTGTCGCTTATGTTCTGTCCGTCACTCTGCACCGTTCATGAGTGAGAGATGGAGAGTCTGATTCGCCTGCTTCCTGCGGCAGCAGCAGGAGATTTTCCATAATAACTTAATGGCAGCGTAGCTCTGTTTTGTTAAAACATAAACTTTTTTTTCCCTTCAACAGTAGCAAATGCTGGTATTTTATCAGTTTTAATCAAAAGTGATCAATTACAAATATTAAATTTTCATTATTTTGTTATTTAAATGGGCATTATGGAAGTTTGACAGCCAAAACATGTATAGAAATAATAAGTTTCCTCTTCATACATTCTCCTGCAATGCCCTGGTCCTGTAGACTGAGCCCTGGCATTTTTACTGTGATTGCCTGTTTTTCTGTAAAATCACAGAAAAAGAGAGCTGCTCGGGTCGAGCAGGCTGCTCATGCGCGTTCACGCTCAGGCATCGCCCGTAGCATTTGCTATCCGTAGCTTTAGCAGCAGAGAGAGAGGCGGTGCCAACTCAGCGACTTTGTCGCTGTTCCTAACGCCTAGTGATGAACCTAGCTACATTTCTGAGGACCCTTAGCTACTTTCTGTAGAACTTTCTTCTAGATATTTCCTGCAAATTAGCAACGAAATAGCCATTTTCGCGCCGAGCCGTTCTTTGGTTTGACGTTGTTTCAGGTGTCATCAAGGATATAAAAGTTACAGATGCTGTGAATGTTACTAGAGTGTAGCTCACCTTGTAAGATGTCTGACTCTCACACACAAGACCTGGGTTTGATTCTGGATGTGAACATAGTTTATTTAGAGTTTATTTTTTACATTAATGGTATATTTTTTACAGTAAGATGCCCATATTTTTATTTGAGACTCGCCGAACGGCTTTGCATTCACAGATAAAAAAGATGTGGGTTCAACTTTCATTTTGGAACAATTTTTCAAGCAAGGGAAGGGAATGATCTGAGCATGCAGGAGGACTGACCCATCTTAAACCTTTGTTGGCTGTGCTGAAGAGAAAGGTACAGAACCAAATTATTTGATTAATTAGCTGCACGCTCTCCTGTCCCCTGTCCTCCGGGCCACACACACACACACGGGACTGTCTCAGCTGTTATTTTCGTTAAGGAGTGTGCACGTACAGCACGCGCGCCTCGTGCACGAGCCTCCTATTGAAGCTGCCGTTACGCTTTTGGCCTGAGGGGGCAATCGTGAGCATAAAAATTCAAAAGTCTGTAAAGTCCCTTTAAACAACAAACTAGACTTTATTTTTATGTCAGGTCATTTGTTCTTCATGAATCAAATGAAAATCACAATTTCTGCCATAAAAATCATAATGAAATCTTTTCCTAAGGCTCTGGTATGACCGAAAATTCCGGTCTGGTTTATCCATGCCCTTTGACCCAGCCTACCGCTGAATTTCCACTCATACACGACTCACACACATGCACAATGTCCGTGTTGCTGTGAGGCAACTCGTGAATCAGCCTGGTGAATGCACTAAAACTCAGGGTAACCTCTGTTCTTGTCAGATATGACTATGGTGATGATCCCTGCCGGGCATTGTTGGTGACCTAAAGGTTTGAAAACTACAGCAGATTTGAGCATCTGCTGTTACTTTCAATGGGAAAAAGGTCTCATGTTTCAAAATAAAGCCTCTGATCAGGTCGGAAATTAAAAGCTAAAACATTTACAAAACTATTTAGCAGCTTAAATCAATCAGTAGGTTATTACTTATTTGAGTTCTGATACTTTGAGATTTGACAAATTTCACTTCTGTAAGCTCAGAAACACAAACACACAACCTCATCAACTGTTTTCATTGCTGTACCTCTTTCCCTTTAATGCTCTCCACAGGGGCTCTCATGCAGAAAAGGTTTTTCACATTTCACAGCAATCAAACCGGGCTTGTGAGCAATTACGTCTGATCGCAGCACAGTTGGCCCGGACACTGTTTATCCACAGCGACGCGGGAATTCATCGGGAAAAACTCTGAGAGCGGGAAAGGTATTTCTTTTTTTTTATGTGCTTTAGCCGGCGCGTATGCCTCCCTAAAGACGCCCTCGTAACGGCTCGATGCTCATTTTAATTAACACATAAGCCCGTTGATGTTAATTAAAAAGCAGACAGACGATTCCCCCATCAGAAAAAAAGATCACACGAAGGTGCAGAAATGTGTGCATGGAGACTCGGGCATCAGGCAGTGTTCATCAGCCCACCTCCAAATGATACAATAACTGCATGGAACGATTAAAAAAACACACTCGTGTAACTTACTTCATGGGCTTGAACAGGGCTTGTCCGTAGTTCTGGAAAGTCATGATCAGCTTCAGCTGAGTGCCTCCCGATTTCATGGCTGAAAAGAAAGCAAGTGAGAAGTCAAATAACAACCCGAGCCAATTCCACAGAAAAAAACGTGCACAGCTGTATTGTTGTTCGACAGTAATGTGTTTTTGCATGGATTCATGGAGTTCTGTAGACCAATTTGCCCAACCGTTGAAAGAGGTCATAGCAGCAAGGAGCTGCGTGTGCCTTTAGTTGCTGCTAAAACCCATTGATTGTGTTGAGATTAGCCTCATCATGTAAAACATTTGGCGGTAGATTTGTGCACATTAGCCACTTCCTTTGTCACTCACTCAGTCTGACCTCCTGTACTCGGGACTCGAGCCGTGGCTTATGTCAGACTATCAGTCATGTCCATGCTGTCTCCCATAGGGTGATGGAGACCGACATCAAGCTTCCTGCTTCCCTCTGACTCAAACAAAAGGACCGCCAGAACTGTCCAAATGCCTTGTGTTTCTGTCACAATGGACAGGCTTTTGGAGGGATTTGCCCATTTATTACAGCACATTAACTTGAGCGTATTACAAGACATGCTGCTTCTGCATAACCCCAATATCAGCGTAAGCCTGCAGTTGTGAATCCACTTACCAACTGAGCAGTTGGCTGCACTGAACACTCTGAATAAAGCTGCGTTTGGTGTTTACCAACTCAATTGCTGTCTCGTCTCAAGAGCTCTCACATTTTTCCTTTTTTCTGTTTGGGTTGTTTATGCTATTCTTGTTTTCACCTTCTCTGTTATTTTCTCGCTGTCTCAATTCATATTACTCAGTGCAGGCAAGTCTTCTTGAGCTGTGACTCATTTTGAAAGGTTTGCATGACCTAGGGTGCATCACCTTTTGTTTATGCTAGAGACTGACTCAGTAAGCATGTAACAGGTAGGCAGAAGACAGGTCAAGTGGAGTGTAGGCATGCATTTGTACAACCATCCAAAATGTTTAAAATATTAGAATTCTGTTTATAGAGATTTGACTTTCACAGAAACAGACAGATCCATCGGTCGGCTGGTTATTTAGGCTGATTTTAGCCTAAAACAACAACAACTTAGCAAAATTTGACAATAATTCCTTGCATCAATGAACTTCCTACAATAAGAACAATACCAGCAGACCCAAAGGGATGTTGGCCACATTATGATGGTATCTTTACACATATTCTTTACTGTTTACTTCACTGCTACAATATAAATGATGGGTGTGGATTAGAGGTCGACCGATATTGGTTTTTCTATTGCCGATACTGATGCCGATAGGAAAAGGTTATGGTCAGTCAATGGCAGATTTTCAGAGTCCATATTGAGATATTTTCTATATCGCTTTCATGCTAAATTGTCACTAACAGGGATGTAGGAAAATATCGATATGGCAATACATCGTGATATTTTTTCCAGCGATATTATATCGATATTCAAAAGGCTGTGTATCTTATTTTTGAAAGAATTTACATGCAAGAATTTGTGCATTTTCTTTTCTTTTGGTGCAATTCGAACACTGACCACTAGTTGGCATCAGTGTGCAGTGGGTTTTGTTTCCACCATTGAAATTTATTATTATATTATGGTTTAGATACCTCATGTTAAACATGTTAAGTATCAGTTTGGACTGTTTATTAAATTTTCCAATAATAAATTCAGTCTAAAAATCTCTAATATTGTCTGACTGAATGTATCGCAATACATTGTGATATATCGTATAGTCTCCCATGTATCGTGATACGTATCGTGTCGCCATACTTTCACCAATACACACCCCTAGTCACTAATAACATCAGTTGATTCATGTAACTTCGGAAACTAAATCAGAGTTTAACCAGCTGTTAAATCTTAATTTTGTGTACTGCCCACTGTTAAAATCAGACATTTAACTAAAGTTATTCAAACAAATTAGTAAACTGACCAAGTATTAAATACGCAAAACAGGTAAATTTTAAGAAGTTTAAGTTGAAAATAATTTTTGAGCATTAAGCAGATGTTATTCAGAAAGGTAAACATACATTTAAATACAATTCTGCAGCAGCACCGGGCTGCCCGGGGATGTGCCTGACTTTAAATAGACTTTACTACGGAGTTATATCGGCCAATGTCAATATATAAAAAAATAGTGAATATTGGCCCAATATGTCAGCTGACCGATATATGTGTCTACAACACTGATCTTGTGGGCCCAAATTAATTTCAAATATTAGTATATCTTCCTAATGTGCATTTAGGCCTATTATAACAGTGTAGATTAAAAAATTATAAACTATAAACTATAAAACAGTTTTTGCGTACTTTAAACTGAAACTAACTACAATTTTGTGGCCAGTGTGGAGATCTGTAGTTTTCCAAACTAGGCCCTTCTGTTGGAACAATTAGACACTTGGGTCGCACTTCTCTGACCTGTCCAAAAAACGATAACTAAGAGAATACATTTCTGACTAGGTTACTACATTTCTGATTGTGGAAATCAAAATGTGTAAAATTGTTTGGGAATTTTTTTATTGTTGGAATGAATTCATGCTTGGTAAAGAAAATCAGATATTTGAATTTCAGACTGGCCGATCACTAATTAAAGCTAGCCTGCTATTTGCCAGTTCAAATTATCAGGCTATTTATGGGTTCATCTATAGTTTCTGCATTGATGATGTCATCACTAGTGGCCTGTACATGTTTCTGGTAAATTGCTTATGATTCTTATGCTAATTCCAAATGAAAATGTAAATGTTCTCATATGTTTGTGTCTCAAACGTGTCTCCACAGCCCAGTGAGTTTCTAAATCATCTGTGCTGCCATGTAAGACATGGACATACACATTTAGCAGAGCTTTATTAGTTTTTATTTCAGAATGCTCCGAGCCTCACCCACCAGCATCAGCTTCTCCTCCCCTGCGGTGATGATAAATCCATCGGGCTTTCACCTGTGCCTCCTCGTGTTTCTATGATTTATGAGTTAAGCTGAGTTGTGAACAAAAAAGGCCACAGACACAAAGGAGCAGAAAGAAGAAGCCAGTATTGCGGAGAAAATGCTGAAGAGAGAATGTTTCTAATGCCATCTCGGTTTCGTGCAATAATTATGAAGAACTGTATATGCATCCATGGACAGGAAAACAATACAAAGGTTTTGTTCTGCAGAGACAGAAGATGAAGGGATGTACAGCAATGAGACAAAGACAGGAGTGAATAAATGTACAATAAAACAACCACGCTACAAAGGAAGCATGGTCAGATTACAGCCAGTTTTAGTGATAGCTGAAGTCATAACAGGGTGAGTCCAGTTCTATTACTGTATGAGCTTTACGTTGTGGAAATAAACAGGACATTGTTAAAAATATTACAGGTGTTAATGCACATACTCCTTATATGTTGAAACTTTCATTTTGGTCATAAATGTAGCTGTAATTAGTTATTTAATGCTTGAAGACAGCACAATTTACAAGATATGGGTAGTTAGTGTTGACAACCCACCAAAGGATGGAGGCCATAGAGTCATCACATTTTATCTGGTAGAAGAGAACAGACAACTGTTTCTGCCGGACCGTTTTACACGTGGCACACTCTGAGCCTCATCACTTTGGTGTGCATTCATAAAGGAAAGTAAGTAATGCTAAACACGTGTTTACATGATTATCGTCTCTATTCTTACTCTGTTAGCAGCTTAATAGTGGCTTGGTGATTTACACCACATGGATGTTATGCCATTAGCATTATTAGCACCTGTTAGCATAAGGAAGCTAATATATATATATATATATATATATATAATACCTTATTTTCGGAACTATAAGCCGCTACTTTATTCCCACGCTTCGAACCATGCGGCTTATAATGAGGTTTACTGAAGATTTTCCTTCACCTGCCAGGGGGCGCTTTAGCAGAAAGTGAAACAGGTGGAAGTCAAATGTGGAAATCAAAGAAAGTGCTCATTTTAATTTAGCACATGCAAGCAGCCGGCACGACGAAGAATTTTTTTCAAATCCATACTCTCTCATCATGGAAACTACACGTATGAGTTCATAATGATGCCGCATTTAAGTTGAAGGCCGTCGATCTGGCAGTAAAGGAGGGAAACAGCGCTGCCGCACGTAAGCTTGGCATGAATGAATCCATGGTTCGGCGCTGGAGACGGCAGCGGGAAGAACTCATTCAAGCCAGCTTCACCCGGGGATGATGACAGCAACATGGACAGCGACACTGACATCGCCACAGAAAAGGTTTGTGACGAAGCTCTTCTGAGGCTGTTCAACTCCGACACTGAAGAAGAGGACTTTAATGGCTTTAGTGTGCAAGAGGAAGATGAGAGCAAATGACTTTTTCTGGTAGGCAAGTGTGTTTTATTTACTAACCAGGCATGTTTTGTGTACAGTTTTTATTTTCTATCATCCAGGGCTTATTAATGCTGTGTCAGCGCTGTTCTTTTCTTCTAAACATGCAACTCACCGGTAATAACGTGTCAGTTCTGTTTTTATTTTATAACCATCCAGAAATATGAATGCTATCAGTGCTGTTTTCTTTTCTAAACTTGCAGGCATGTTCACCCGTGTTTAAAATTAATTTTGTTTAATTAAAACAACAACGAAAAACCTTTGTGTAGCGTCTTTCTGTCTAATTTTCTTATGCTATGGCCATACATGCGCTGTGCGCCAGAGACCTGCATGTGGCTGCTGCGCCACGGCTTGTATTTGAGAGCGGCGTATGTGTGCAGAAAACCTTTTTTTTTTTTTGCTGGTGCAGCTTATATTGAAGTGCACTCTATAGTCCGGAAATTACGGTAATTGTATTTTTTATTTTTTGAAGCATCACCCACCCCTATCTGAATGTGATGTTTCACAGCCATGCTAGTGATGCTGGTGATCTTTTCAGCTTCTGGACCACAAATAAACAGCAAACATTAAGCTTTTTTCAACTATTTATCTGTTTATTAATGTCCTGTGGGTATTTAGTCCAACAGAGGGAGCCTAAGGGCCTTGATAAACTTGCTTTTTGACCTTGTGTTGGTGCAGGCAGCCGGCTTTGTTACGTTACTTGCTGCAGCACAGCACTGCACTGCATGTAGTAGTGGGGTGTTTCACTAGGGGGCGCACCAGACTACTCAGAGCAGACAGAGAGCTGGGTTTATGGATACAACCAAAACGAACATGGTGTCAATAGAAGAGATCAGTAACTGGTTAATTTTGAGATCACAACAGAAAAAGAGACAGCAGTGCTATCAACGATGGTAAAGACCTCTAACTCGGAGGCGGAGTCACCATTGTGAGTGTGTCTCGGTTGTCAACTCCAACAACTGGTCACTCGTGTATTGCAGTGTTTGGACGCGTTGCATTAATTTCAGGGCACGCGCTGAAGTGACACATCAAATCAATGCAAGTAACACGTGGCAGCCATTTTAAACGTGTTCGCGTCGTGAAACAGCAAGTACATCAAGACCCTAAGTTTCCTCCCCTTCTGGTTGGCTCATGGAACCCCTGAACAAAAAATAAATGAATGCAAGTGAACGAGGCTATAAAAGTTATTTTCTGGTCTGCTTTGCCAAACATGTTGTACTTCAATTGAAATGAAAATAATTGCGTGCTTTGGCTACGTCTGTCATATATTTTGAGATTTATTTGCTCTTATAAACTTGGAATTAAAAAGACTACAAATCAGAAGTCGCATGTATGACGTCACGGCAGAATCTCTAGTTCCCCCAGCGTAGCCGCTACTTACCGCAGGTCTGTGGTGGTTTTCTTCATCTTTAATGCTTCCTTCTTTCATCCTGGAAGAAGGATGTGAAGCTCGCTAAACTCACAGTCATCTTTCTTCTTCTGCTTATCGTTGTGGGAAGAACGTTTGCAGTCCACTACGTCTTTTCACACATAACCTAAAATAAACCTAAAATAACTTTTGCCTGCCAAAAATGCAATAAATAAACAATTTCTTGACATCAAAATGTGTCTTTAAGATTCACAGAAATCAATTGTGAGATACATGACACTAACCCTGACCCTATCCAACCGGTTCGGCTCATAGACTCCCATTCCCATGGTCCGGAGGTAGATGTCTTGGGTTCTACAAACTCTATTAAAATTTTTTTTTGTTAAATTTGGTTTGTGAAGATTATCTCCAAACACGTTTATTATAATAGAGCTCCTTTGTCATGTTATGAACTACTAATAAACTTAAATATGTAAATTAGTAGTGGTAAATTCTTCTCTTGTGTTTAGAAAATCAGGATGAATTTCATATAAATGTGTTTTACTGCTGGTTATGTTTTAAGACGCAAACAGCTCAAAGTCAACGCTTTGTGTTACTAATGATTGAAATGTCCCCCAGACCTTTAAAAAACAATTTTCTCTTGGATTTCCAAACTGGGATCGACCCCTGGTGAGTCACTAACTCCTAGCTGCACATGGGCTAATGTGATTCTCTGTGGTTGACTCACCCACGCTGGTGATCCTCTGTGTGACCAGGTCCTTGAGCAAGGCATCCAGCACAGGACTGTGTCGAGGGTACAGCTCATAGCGATTGACCCCGATGTGGAACTGCAGCCAATTGGGGTAAGATTCAGCTGTCACCTCTGAGGTGGGAGAAAACTCATCCTCTTCATCATTGCCATCGTGCCTGGAAAATGAAATGAGGATGGAGAACGTAGTTATCAACTACAGTTTGTGACGTTTGCTTGTACTGATTTAACTATACAGGTAGGTAGGTAGGTAGGTAGGTATGTAGATAGATAGATAGATGGATAGATAGATGATAGATAGATAGATAGATAGATAGATAGATAGATAGATAGATAGATAGATAGATAGATAGATAGATAGATAGATAGATAGATAGATAGATAGATAGATAGATAGATAGATAGATAGATAGATAGATAGATAGATAGATAGATAGATAGCAGAGGTGAACAAATCAAATTTAAAATCATGATACAATTGTCACATCATAATATAAATATGACATCACAAAGCACTTATGTTCCCTTATTTATTAGAAATCTATTTTTTTAAAACACACATTTTTTGCTGTATAAATGCTGCATATTATAACTGTGTCATTGTTTTTATATAAATATTGCATTTTTCCAAGATATATTGTCATACAATTTTGAAGCAAATTGCCATTGGTCCCCGGTGGGTCAATTTTTCGTCGCAGGAGTCATACAATAAAAAAATATGCCACTTTTTTAACCTTTAACCGTATTTTTGAAAGAATCTTACCATGCCTGGTTTCCTGTTGCTCTGGGATAAAACCTGATGTCAGTTTTAAATAAAGTATCATCATCCGTGAGGGGAGGCAGGTCAACCTTGTATAAGTGATGCTGAAACAGAGCGGACAGTCTGGAGACAGCCTGGGCAGACGCGGTCCGAGCGCCGCTGGCGTTCCCGATCAGCGGCTTGTCGTCCCTCTGGTTCCCAGCCGACTGTCTCGTCTTCCCGTAGGAGTCCCCCGCTTTGTTCCCGGCTGCGGCTGTGATCTTTTCCAGGGAATGTGAGGTGATGTTGGAGCTCGGCTCGTTGCTGAAATCCTGCAGGATTCTCAGCGTGTGTTTGTTAGGCCAGCCGGCTTCGCCCGGCGACCTGGCTCGCTGCTTGCCCCAGCCCTGCACATCGCTGTCCGGGTGCTGCGCGCACTGGCACCCGGCGCCGTCGCCGCTGTCCGCCCCAGACGCCCTCTTCTCCAGCTTTGGTAACAGGTCTATCATGATGTGCAAAGTGCACGCCACCAGAAACACCATGAGTATCAGAAATCTGAATTTGCGAAACAGTATCATGGTTATTTGTGGGTAATAACTCTATAAGTTCACAGAGAGAGAGAAGCTTTGAGCGCGGCGCGGACACAATTATCTGAGCATTTTACATACAAAGAGTGTAGGTTTGTGCTAAAACTACATCATGTTTGACAGTCTGTGGTTGCGTAAAGGTCCAGCTTCTTCATGTCCAGACAGGTGCACGCAAACGCCTCATTTAGCGCCTCTTCGGAGCAGGATGCGGTGCCAGGAGGACGGAAGGCTGGACAAATGTTTCAGAAGGTGCAGCAGGAGGGAGTGGGGTCCCGGTGCACGCATTCCATAGAGCCACTTCCTCGTGCTGACGCCAGTGGGTGTATGTATTTACAAAGAAAAAAAGTCACGTAGACATTACATTGAAAGCTGCCCATGTGTATTTAGGGCAAATAAAAATGATTAAAAAGCATCCATTAGGAATAAAAATGAGCAGGTCATCGGAAAGATGCTTGGATGCTGCCCCAGTTCTTCCTGACAAAGCCTGGCAGGAGTCACATCAGACGTCGGCCGGCTGGCTGGCTGGCCGGTGCTCGGATCCAGGTCGAGATTTGTCCTCTCCGCACGGCTTGGTCTCTGCTCCGTGTTCATTCAGGTTGGGTTTGTTAAATCTTCGGATCGAAGACATCTGAGCCCAACCTCGGTGGCGTCATGAGGAAGAGATTGGCTGCGTCTGCACACCAACAGCAGCAGCAGCAGCAGCAGCAGCAACAGCAGCACTACAGTGACATGAAAGAAATGCTTTCAGGGACGTGGATGCTATCTATTTGTGCTCCGCTAGAGGGCGCTGACGCAGCCTCAAGCCGCTGCAGAAACTGCACGCGCTTCATTACAGATAATGTACTGGGTTCTTAGCGGGGCTCCTGGTCTATGAAGGGTGCTTGAGGATGAACAAAGGGGGTCTAATGTAGAAGGAGAAATCGTCTAGTTTCACTGTCTTTTCATGGTCGGTGACTCGACGAAAGTGTCACATGATTTTTGGACACTCAACTTTATTCTGAAGGGTGTAAGAATTTGTTCACAAATGTCAAATGATGCACGGTTTAGCAAAGACACGGGACACCTTGTTTAGCATGAACTAATCTGCAGATCTAACTGGTCAGCCTGCTGCCAAAAACAGAATGTTTTGCCTGTCTGCCTGTTAGCTAAATATGTCACTGACATCTAATTGGGATTGGATGAAACTATCAGAAAATGAATAATGGACATGCATCTACCACCAATTCTCTTTTAGAGTAAACCCCAGTCAAGGTCATTCCCACAGCCGACCTGAGATGACCGCCTTATTTAACAGGATTTTCTGGCATGATGGACTGACATCTTTAGCCATAAAACGCTAGTCTAATCACTTTATTGACACAAATTCAATAATCTACCCTAAAAAAGGTGAACTTCTACCCCAACAACATTACTGGCTTTGGCTGCACGTTTACTTGACTTCTTACCATCTACCCTCAGTTTGGTGCCACAGCAGAGAGAATCACACCAGCCAGACTAATAGTACATCTTCTGATAGATGCTGAACGATCTCGTCTGTCTCAGGACACAGATTACTCCGACGGTTCTCGTGAAGTTCAGTAGAGTCCTGAGCCTATCCCAGTTTGTTGTCTGTGTGAACTCCAATGATTGTAACAGGAGTCACCATTTTCCCAGTCCTCTAAATGTCCACCACCAGCTTTTGCACACGATTCTACTTGGACTACATGAGAAAGCTACTCCCCCTCACCTTCCTCCCTGGCTCATCCAACTGCTGCACAGCTGAGATGATTTCATCTCCACGCTCAGGTATAAAAGTCAATGGGTGATGTGTTTTCCTTAAGATATTTTAATCGTCTCAAAACATCCTTTTAATTTAAATTCTTTACAAGTGTTTAAAACTAATCTACAGGTTTATTGTCACTCTTGATGAGATTTGGAGACGCTCTAATGTTGACCGTCAGAAGGACATTAATCTTTGGTTGTGAATGCTCATTTACGGGTTTATATGATAATAGTCCATTTGTTATGATGGAAATAATGTGTTTCTAAGTAAAGTGAGTCCATTTAGCTGCTGTTTTGTTATTTAATAAGAATTTGTGGCATGCAAAGAAACAATTTTAATTTCCAAGCGATTGTTTATCTTTCAGCTACTGTATGTGTTGAGGGCAGATTAGGTCCCATTGGTGTGGACTTTGCAGATCTACTGCAAACACAACAAAGAGAAGGGAAAACCTCAAACGGCATCAAAAAAAGCTTTAAAGGTTTAACTATAGGCTGTTAGCTCATAACACCCCTTTAAACTGCTCAAAACAATTCTCACAGTTTCACATTTTAAGAAAAGGGTTTCTAATTGGTTCATTTATCATCCTCCAACATTATACCTCAGTTCTGGACCCGTTTCAGTCAAATCATTCCAACATGCTGCCTCAGAGGTTATTTTCAGAGGAATACACAACATTAAAAGCAATTACAGCACTTGGCGCTTGTGTTTGGGCCGGTCTAACATTCTGTCTATCTCCATTTAAATGAGTAACGTTTTCATCACTGTGGAGTTTCAGTTAGCCAAGTGCAGGCTGTTTGTCTGCCAGAAAACGGCAAATTTAACCATTTTGTTTTTAGCTCAGTCAAATTAAAGTTCGGCAATCAGCAAAATAAGCATAATTCTTTGGCTTGTTTGCGTCTGCTTTTGCCCAACTCTCCACGAGAACAGTTTTCCTCTGCTTCTCCGTGTCCTCCCGTGTGTGTTGAGCTGAGGTTTGTGCCACCAGCAGGTTTGTTCATTTAAATAAAACAAGATCTTAAAGTTAACATGCGGACAAAATGTGTTCCCAGAGGCAAGATTGAAAAACAAAAGAACAGTAGCTTTGCACAGGCACATCCACCACTGCTAAAAAGGTATTCTGTAAATAAGATCAGATTTGAGCAAGAATAAAAATAAATAGTTCATCTTTTTTCAGGAATGTTGTACATTTTATCTTGGGAACTGTCTGAGTCTCCACATATGTGAAACTGCTGCTTCTAGGCTCATCTGAAGAACACATTTGAGATTTTTCGAGGGTGCTCATGTTTCGAAAAGCTGTTTTCTTCACCTGAGAGACATAATTTTCTACGGTGATAATTGTTGAGTATATTTACTGAATATATGTATCAGCAAGTAAATAAATCCCAGTTGTGTGAGTGACAGTAAGGAGAAAAAAATATTCAGAATATAGAAAACTACAGAAAATCTAAATGCAATATATATATATATATATATATATATATATATATATATATATATATATATATATATATATATATATATATGCAAAATATATATGGGCTGCATGGTGGGGCAGGGGTAAGCACTGTTGCCTCGCAGCACGAAGGTTGCAGGTTCGAAACTCGGCTCGGCTGCAGCCTTTCTGCGTGGACTTGCGTGTTCTCCCCATGCATGCGTGGGTTTCCTCCGGGTACTCTGGTTTCCCCCACAGATCACAGCATGCCCTATAGGTTATAAATTGTAAGTCGCTTTGGATAAAGCGTCTGCCAAATAAATAAACATAAACATAATGTATTGTAAAGAAGTTTGGTCTTGGGTCTTAACTGATCACAAAATCATCAGCGACTGCAACAGCGAGAGACAAACATATACATCCAAATCTTTTAAATTACTTAAAAATAACCTGTGTTTTTAGAATATTTAATAACCATAAAAAGTGGGATAAAAAAATAAAAAACTAAACAAAATATTGTAACCTCTGACCCCCCCCCCCCCCCCCCCCCAAAAAAAAAAACCTAGAAGGAGAAGTGCCAAATCAGTCTGTCTTTAACTTGTCCCAGTGGCCTAATGGATAACGCACTGGCCTCCCAAGCCGGGATTATGGGCTAAACCCCCCATCTGGGGTGGTAAAAAGTGTCTGATAAAATATTTTAGAAGCTTAAGTGTATGCAACAGTTCAAAAGTCTTGATTTGTTCTTATTTACGATGGGAAAATACACAGACTTTGATTGTATCCCACTAGAAATACACAAACCTTTATGGCCAGCCCCTCTCTAGAACTGAGGAGACTTTGGAAAAAAGAGAAAAAGCTTGCTAGGCTACATGCTAACCTGCACAGCTTGGCTGCTCCAAACCTCTTCCTTGCTAATGCCCAGTCTCTCACTAACAAAATGGACCAGTTTCGAATGAGGATCGGCTAATGTGTACACAGTGGATTTCAATGATCACAATGTTATGTTAGGTCTGGAAGGGCACTCTGATCTGGGCAGACAGGACTACAACTTTGGCTAGAAGCAAAGGAGGCGGTAAAGGTGGTGGTAAACAACTTCTGAGCTCAGCTACAAACATGGGTTTTTGACCCAGTAATCCTAGATAAACTGGTTCTCAAGCTTCACAACCTCTGTCTGTCCACATCGCTGTGGATCAGGGACTTCCTCTCATGGCCATCCCCCACACTACTCATGAACTTGGGAGCAACACAGGCCTGTGGTCTTATTCATCCTTTTCACTCATGATTGTTCCATCATTCACTCCAGAAAAAAAAAACACCAAGAGATAATCCCAGACAACATTCTGTTAGGTACCAGCACCATTGTTACATATCCAGGAGTTTTAATCTAGCCTCACTTCCTCTAGTAAATGTATAAATCAGTAATTAACAGCTTTTACCAAGTGCTAGGGGGTAATTTCCTAATTGGAGAAACAAGATTAAAGTCTCAGCTCAAAGAGCTAAGGTGTAAGAAAATAATAAACATAAATACATTTAAAAAGGCCAAACTCCTCTTTTAAGAAGGAAATATTTAATGTAGAATACCGTAAGCCTGTTTTTGACATAAGAAAAAACTTAGGTGGGTTAGTATTTTTGCTTTTGTCGTTTATTCTCTATGCACATTGTTTAGATAATAACGAATCAATCATTTGATGTTTGATACAAAGAGAGGGAGGAGATGGGAGAGATGGTTTAAACTATATAAATGAAATAATTAAAAAAATAAATAAAACTGAAATTCATGCTTTGGATTCCAGTCTAGTTTGGAATCCACTGAGAAATATTTCTGTGTCTGAAAGTTTGAGCCCCAGGGCTCGTCTGTACCTCAGGTTGGAATCAGACTTTACACAAAGTTAAGCCCAACATCCCTTGCCTCGATGATAATAAATGTTTCTGCAAAGACAAAGTAATAAAACACTGCAGACCAATAACTTTAACTCAACATGTGTCTGATCCAGTAAATCAGATGAACATAACACCTCCTGAGGGAGGTATGCTCAAATATTATGACACGTTTTTATGACTGTCTTCCATAAAAAATATATATAAATTCCATCAGATTAGGCTCTGTCATGCCTGATGATTTGTTAACAGGTAATTCAGGAATGAAAACTAAAGGGATGTGGAATTTTCTCTTGCATGGGGGGTATAATTGAGGAATAATTTGAGCAAGGAAATCTTTTGAAAAGAACTGTCATTGGGTACGGCTGGCTGGATAAAAGAAAGAAAGAAGGCAACCCTGAATAGTGACTGAAATGGAGATGGGGAAAATGAGTGTCAGGGTGAGTAATGACACGTTTAGCCAATCGACAGAAATCAAGATGGAAATGGGCTTCTTTGGAGCATATGTAGAGAGACATGGTGTGAAAAGAACACATTACCGATTGTATTGTGTGTAGTTTGGTTGAAAAAAATTCACATTTGAACTGTGAGTTCTGTTGTTGAAATTAAATTGTAGCGGAATATAGTTGGTATATTCTTACTCTTTTATTAAGGTCACTGATCC